TTCTCAGCAGGATCCTAGCAATTTTTTTTTAACCCTCTCCAGTTTAATAATATCCTTCCTATAACAGGGAGACCAGAACTGCACGCAGTACTCCTGAAGAGGCCTCACCAATGCCCTGTACAACCTCAACATGACGCCCCAACTCCTATACTCAAAGGTCTGAGCAACGAAGGTAAGTGCTCCAAAGCCTCCTTAATCACCCTATATATCTGTGACGCAAATTTCAAACAATTCCTTCAAACTATTTCCCATGTACAAGGTTACAGCACAGACGCGCCACAATTTAGTCCCAAAAAGTTGTCTTGTCTTGAATTGTCTGCAAGGAGATATGAGTCAAGGTGGATTGTTGAGGCGTTGAGCCAGTGATTGGTGAGTTGTTTGAGATAGCAAAGGGTTACCTGTGACTTAGAAATGTTCAATGCTCATATTCCAACCCCCAGTACTTAATAGCATTAAATTATTTTTTGTTTAAAAAGTAGAAAAAACTCCAGATCCTAAACTCCTTCTCTTCAAAAAGAAAGTTAACTGCAAGGAAAGACTGTTGATTTAAACTGCTCTCGTCAAGAATTCAGGATGTTCAAAAGCGTTGTACAACCCAAGGATGTGCTGTGGAGTGCAGTCATCATTTTAATGTAGGCAACATACAGTCAGTGTGCGTTCAGTGAGATCACACTAAAAGCCAACAAATAACAGGAAAGGCCACTTTTTCAGAGTGTTGCTCAGGAAAGATTGTTGGCTGAGAAACTTCTTCAAATAGTGTCAACGTCTTTTAAATCCACCTGAGACAAGGGCCTAAGGATTCAATCATTCAGCTCCTACTGCACAGGCACGTAAAGATTCAGTACGATGGGCAGGGACAGAAATGCATTACCTACCCTATCAGGTGGGTATCATACAGTCATAGACCTTCAGCTTCCATTGTGCTTGTCTGAAACTGGCAGGAATGCCTTTGCTTGTGAAAATGGAAGTGTGAAAATGTGAAATTGGACTGAGCGTGCAGGCTGCAGGTCAGTGTCTTCAGGCACTTAGCAAATTAAACTTTAAAGCTGCTCTTGGAGGTGACCAATCAAAAGGTAAGTTTGAAGTTTTTGGACTTCCACTGTTGTGGAGGCAGCATAAGCAAGAATGCAACTTTTGGGTTCCCCATTAATTTCATTGCAAGCCTGCTCCCATTCCTACACCCCCCAGCCCTTCTCCACAACCACCAGCAGCTCCTGAGGAACACAACTAGTAATTAAATAGGCAGCTCGATCACCTATAATGTGGAGCTCAACTGTTTGTTAGCAAGAAGGCAGTTGGTTGTGGTCCTTTACTAAGAACAAGAATGTGTCCACAGCAGTAACAGTTGTGCAATAATGACAGAATGGAGATCAATGAGCCTGTAACTGAACTGGAAATGGCTCACTTTTTTAAAACTCATTTGCAAGATGAGGGCATCACTGGCTAGGCAGCATTTATTGCCCATCTCTAATTGCCCAGAGGGCAGTTAAGAGTCAATCACATTGCTGTGGGTCTGGAGTCACATGTAGGCCACGCCAAGTAAGGATGGCAGTTTCCTTCCCTAAAGGGCATTAATGAACCAGATGGGATTTTCCAACAATCAACAATAGATTCTTGGTCATTATTTGACTCTTAATTTAAGATATTTTTCTATTGAATTCAAATTCCACTATCTTGAACACGGGTCCCCAGAACATTATCTGGATCACTGAATTAACAATCCAGCAATAACACCATTAGGTCTTTGCCTCCCACTGCTCTTTTCAACTTCTTACTGAAAACTGAGTCAGAATGATTTTATGTAAATGGTGATACAACCATTCATTTTTCATGAGCATTTGAAAGTATGACTCCATTTATTTTAATCTTAAACTGCGATATTTCAACCCAGAACTTCTGTTATTATCAGTTGCTGCTCTGAGCCAATTTCTTGATGATTTTACCAGGTCTCTCTCTTTAAATACTTTTGTTTCCCCGAAAATCTTTTATACAATTTCAGCTACCTTTTGTTTTCACATATAGCTGCTCTGAAGTTTATTGATGGCTGGATCACTTTTAATGCTGATATGCAGATTGGGTTCGTATTCTCTTCGGTACTTTTGAAGTGCAGCCTGTATACAAAGGATGTTGCTTTACCAGCATGACCAGATGCTTTATTAGGAAGGAACAGACAGCATGGGTGTATTTTTAAAGCTAAGGAGACCTCAGTGGTGCCAAAAAGACTCAAAGATCGCATATTAAAAACAACTGACATTACTGCATTACAAAAGAGTAGGATGTAATGCATTAGTTGCATGGACCCTTGGCCAAAACCATTCTGTACCATGTTCAGTTTGAGACACCACATCTCCAGGAAGATGTACCAACCTTGGAAGGAATACAGTGTTGGTCAACTAGAATGATCTGCAGTTTGAAGGCTTAAATTATAAGGAACGGTTCCATAAACCTGGTATATTCTCCTGAATATACAAGGAGGACGGGATGATCTGAGCCTTAAAATAAACATTGCAGAGAAAATTAGAAAGCACTTTTTTCCCCATAAAGGAGGATAAAATTCTGGAATTTTCTCCTAAAAAGTTGTGACTGCTTGAACAATTGGAGCATTCAAGACTGAGATGGATAAATTTTATTGGGTAAGGATAGAAGGAGATGTGGAGAGGTTTTGGTATCCCTCAGCTATGATCTAACAGAATGGTACAACAAACTTCAGGGACTGAATGGCTTTGTCCTGTTGCTGTGTTGTAACACATACTTTGGCAGTACCAGAGACAAGCCAGCAACATGGAGGAAGTATAATTGACCATGCGTACGATGTTCTGGTATCCACATTTTGAGGGGCTGTTGGTCTGCTGCCAGCTAATGCACTGACTTTGCTTCTGGTTCACTCTTTAATGTGTATTTGACAACACGATGTCTGTATCATAGACGGCTGCTCAATGAAAACACTCAGAGTTAAATGGAGACACTAATGGCATCACTAGTTTACATTTTGGGGCAACAACACACTTCTCACATGTTTTGACTTCACCCAAAGGACTAACAAATTGCTACACTGCAAGTATAGGACAGCGCAGTGGCTCGATGGTTAGCGCTACTGCCTCACAGCATTAGGGACCTGGCTTTGATTCCAGCCTTGGGTGATTGTGTGGAGTTTGCATGTTCTCCTTGTGTCTGTGTGTGTTTCCTCCCACAGTCCAAAGATGTGCAAGCTAGGTGGGTTAGCCATGGGAGATGCAGGGCCACAGGGCAGTGGGGTGTGTCTGAGTGGGATGCTCTTTGGAGGGCTGGTGTGGATTCCCTGAGCCAAATGGCTTGCTCCCACACTGTAGGGATTCTATAAGTTGCTAAAATAAACAAGGGGCAGGCCAACATGCAGCTTGCTACAATTCAGAAATTGATTTTAAATTCTGAATACAAAATGTTTTTCCCACCATCTCTTCTTTTCAAAACTTCTTACTTAGAAAGATCCTCACAGTCCCGCAAAAGTGATTCCAGAGTTTGTGCCTCAATGTCTCTGTACCCCAAACCTATTCCACATGTGGCTCATATTTCTTGTGAAGGACTTCCTGACATCAAACCTTAAATTGTCCAGTATAAACGTCAACTCAAGCCCCTCTATCCCGTGGTCATAGTTTTGTTTGAAGTGGTACAACATGCTGTTTTGTTAGTTACTGCCTTATATTTTGCTTCAGGGGCTCTCTCAGTTGTCTGTCTTTAACACTGAAAATTCAAGTTCTTCCAGTTTTACCTCATAACTCAGATCTCTCACAAAAACAGATCACTCAACTGACCTTCATCAAACAAGAATCACAATTTATGCTTGTTAACTGCACCAACTCTAATTATACAGATTACTGATAAGGACTTTTACAGTGCAATGGTCATGTTAGGGCAAAAGATCTAGGTTCCAGTCCCAGATGTCCCATAGATATGTCATGTGTCTCAACTAAGCAGGTTGATTGAAAATGTATTTTTGCAAATTAAATGATACACCAACCTATAACATGATCATTTTGCCGATGATTAACATCTTAAATTGAACCCATTCAATACTTTACACTTTCTGGATTAAATCAGTATAATCCATACATTTCTAACACAGGATATCCTTCACTTAATATCTATGCTTCCACCACTGGTTGCTACTTTTACTTGTTATCTAATCTTTTATCAATAATTCCAATGCATTTTGTGCTTCATATTCAGTGTTTTCCTGTAGCATGCCCAAATTCTGTCATATTGAATATGTACTAAATCAAGCTGGATGTTGTATCAGAAGAGCTTGGCTGTTAGATGATTGCTTTTTGCTGTGTCAAACTTTTCTTATTGTCATCCTGTAAATTCTCCAACATAGGTGTTATGGTCAATCTGATGGCACTCATTCAAAAATAACAAAGGCAAGTTGAAGCAGTGGTGATTATGGTTTAAGTATTATGTTACAACTACTGGTGACAGTGTGATTAGACAGTAACTCCATGGTGACACTTCCAAAACATGCACTGGTTCATTTCTCCATTTCCTTAGATTACCTGGATTCTGGAGAATGTTACATTTTCAGATATTACTAAGAAAGGAAGCCTATTAACAACAACAGGTGGAGTTCAACAGTTAGAAAGGAATCCAGATCATTTATGGAAATTATAAGCCAGTGAGCAGGTGGAATTTAATGCATGATGTATGAGTTAAATAAATAGAACAAAAACAGCAGAAGGAAACTCAGAAGACTCAGAACTAAGTGTAATACTGGATTGTCATTGGCAATGTTCAAACTTGAGTCAATTTAGAATAAGCTGGACACTCTGTACCAGTTAACCCAGTGGCAGGGCTTTGAGACTGATACAGTGCGCAGTGAGTACTAGGGTGACATTTTCCTGGGCTACAGGGCTAAAAACCACATCTTGCATTCACTAACTGTGTCACCGGACAGAAAAGCCATAATTACACTGACTTTAAAATGAAAGCTGTCTAGCTTAAGATGAGGTAAAACCTCCTAAACTTACTTTACTGTTAGGTGAAGAAGAATCTTCGAAACCATCGCTATCGCTGTCAGTGTTAGCAAGGCTGCCAAGGCATAGATAGTCCACACTGTAAAGAAGCACAGGGTTGGTTAGTAGAGACCAGCAATGAACAACAGAGGGCAGTATTCAGTGGCAGACTGGCACCAACCTGGCATGTTCTGGTTCGATTGGCTGGGGCTTGCTGTAATGAAGTAGAGAATCTTTGATGATCGGGCTGCATTGGTACCGGCACCCACCCTCTCGGTTATCATTTCTGATGTATTAATATCATTCCTGCTCGCTGGAGGCTGGGAGTGAGGATTGTCTTTAATAGCTGTGGAGGTGACAGCAATCAAAAGAGGGAGAATTGCAATCTATTTAAGTCCACAATAAACATTCTTGAAACATCTCCTACTCCAAATGATTAACTACAATAAACCACTTGAAAGCCTTATCTTCTGTTTGAGGTCTTCTTCGCCCACACAAGAGCACTTTAGATTCTAAACTCCTTCACGAATGATCCTTTCAACCACTTCTAATACAAGATGCATTGAATTTTAGTAACTTCTCAATGATTTTAAGCATCAGTTAAAATAAAGATATCAAGTCTACATCATGGACATGAAATACCAAAGGCACAAATGATTACTGAAGTGTAACTTACTTGACCCCTTCTGTCCTTCTAAGAACTAAATTCTACCTCTGATGTCAAAGCTCTTCATCTTGCACTGATCAGGACAGACCCAAGAATGACAAATTTCAAAGTGGGTAGCGAATTGTCTCTTTTTCAGCAATACTCATATTTGGTACTATCACGTAGTGACCTGATCTTGCAGGAGTTTTTTTGTTTTCTCTACATGTTAAACTTGAAAGGGTGCAGAAAAGATTTACGAGGATATCACTAGGATTGGAGGGTTTGTGCTACAGGAAGAGGCTAACAAGCTGGGGCTATTTTCCCTGGAGTGTCGGAGACTGAGGGGTGATCTTGTAGAGATTTATGAAACCATGAGGGGCATGGATAGGGTGAATAGACAAGGTATTTTCCCCAGAGTAGGGGAGTACAAAACTAGAGGTCGTGGGTTTAAGGTGAGAGGGGAAAGATTTAAAAGGGACTCAAGGGTAACTTTTTCACGCAGAAGGTGGAACGTGTATGGAATGTGCTGCCAGAGGAAATGGGGGAGGCTGGTACAATTACAACATTTAAAATGCATCTGGATGGGTATATGAATAGGAAGGGTTTAGAGGGATATGGGCAAAATCCTGGCAAGATTAATTTCGGATATCTGGTCGAGATGGATGAGTTAGACTGAAGGGTCTCTTTCCATGCTGTACATCTTTATGACTCTATGACTATGTGGATAAATTTTTAATTCATGCTTAATGAATGAAGCTCAGTTTTTGAAATGGCAATTGATATGGATGGTTGACCTTTCATGAAGGCACTGAGAGTGAGTTCTCCAGTACATCCTGTAGAGACTCAGGTAGACATTGACCATTCATGGTACTTTAATAAATTAAAGGCATAACTGAAGGGAACTCACGTGAATCAGGCTGAAGTATTTCATTGCTTTAAAACAATAAAGATAGGCAAGGCTTGAAAAGGAGAGAAGGCAGAAAGTATTTTTATCTTGCTTAGAGACAAAAAAACTGCAGATGTTGGAATCCAAGGTAGACAAACAGGAGACTGGAGGAATACAGCAAGCCACACAGCATCGGGAGGAAAGGAGCAGTCAACGTTTTGAAGAAGGATAATACCTGAAACATTGACTGTTGCTTTCCTCCAGATGCTGCCTGACCTGCTGTGTTCTTCCAGCCTCTTGCTTTTCTCTTGCTGTTGGCAACAGGAGTAACTATCTTTGAAGCAGTTTAAAATAATTAATTTAATATCGATTCCAATAACAGCATCTAGCCTGGCAAGACTTCACTACTTCAGATACTACCCTTGAAGTATTTACATTATTCATCCATTACAATTCTGCAGCACATTTTCACCAAAGTGAGATTATACAAGAATGTAATATTTACAACATTGTATGATGCATGGATTAGAAACCAGTCTTTTTAATTGTGTACATGCAGGGAAACTGCAAGAATAGGTTTATCAAATATTTCAGATGTGGCTCCTTAAATGTTAATTATTCTCACATGTAAACCTCTAGATCAAGAGAATATTCTTTGCTCTTTGTACTTTGTAGAGATAGTATCATTAGATGGGGGAGGGGGTCAGGAGACTCACAGCTGCCAGAATGAATACCCTGAAGCTGTCAATTTCTTTTGCTTACATCAGTAATTTCTTGTCTGTTCACAATAAGTTGCTGAAGGGCAGACCTGGTGCTTGTTTGGCACGACATTAGTAAACTACCATAAAGCAGTAAATTAAATAAGAATGTAAGAAATAGGAACAGGAATAAACCCCTCAAACCTGTTCTACCATTCATGGGTGGCACAGTGGCTCAGTGGTTAGCACTGCTGCCTCACAGCACCAAGAACCTGGGTTTGATCCCACCCTTGGGTGACTGGCTATCTGTATGGAGTTTGCACATTCTCCCTGTGTCTGCATGGGTTTCCTCCAGGTGCTCCGGTTTCTTCCCATAGTAAAAAGATGTGCAGGTTAGGTGGATTGGCCATGCTAAAGTGTGCAGGTTAGGTGGATTAGCCATGCAAAATGCAGGGTTACAGGGATAGGGTAGGGGGGATGGATCTGGGTGGGATGATTTTTGGAGGACCAGTGTGGACTCAATGGGCCAAATGGCCTGATTTTACACTGTAGGAATTTTAATGCAATCTCCCTTTACCCACTCCCTGTGTGCCTTCATTCCCTAATAGGTCAAAACTTGGTCTATCCCAAACCTAAATATATTCAATGATGGAAAATACATGAACCTCTAGAATAGAAAATTTCAAAGGTTCACAACCTTTTGAATGGAAAAATTTCTCCTCGTTTTAGTCTGAAACAATTGCCTTCTAGGCCTGAGATGGTGCCTCTATCTTCTATATTCTCATTTGAAAATACAAAACAGGAGAAGAAGTTAACCCTTAAGCTTGCTGCACCATTCAATTCAATCATGGGGCTGAGCTCTTTGTGTTTCACATTTCATATTTCCATCAACCTCCAATAATCCTTTATTTTCTGCCTAACAAGAATCTATCCATCTCTACCTTAAAAGTATTCGATGGCTCCACTGCCATCTGAGGCAGAGAATTCCAAAGTCACACTATCCTCAGAGGAAAAATCCTTCTCATCTCTGCCGTGGATGGGATGGTGAGCTGTGTGGAGGATGCAGAGATGCTTCAGTGTGACTTGGACAGGCTGAGGGAGTGGCGACTGCATGGCTCTTTGAATGTAACGTGGATGAATGTGAGGTTATCCACTTTGGTAGCAAAAGCGGGAAGATAAACTACTATCTGAATGGTAAGAGATTGGGAAAGGGAGAGGTGCAACGAGATCTGGGTGTCCTTGTACTCAAGTTTTTAAAAGTAAGCATTGGAGATGCAGCAGGCAGTGAAGAAGGCAAATGGTATAATGACCTTCACAGACAGAGGATTTGAGTATAGGAGCATGGATGTTTGGCAGAATTGTAAAGGGTCTTTGTGGCATCACACCTGGAGTATTGTATGCAGTACTGATCTCCTTATCTGAGGAATTATGTTCTGGCTATGAAAGGGGTGCATTTAAGGTTTACCAGGCAGAGTGGTAGGGTGGCAGGATAGATCTAATAAGAGAGCCTGGATCAATTAGGACTGAATTAACAGGAGTTTAGAAAAACAATGGGAGATTTCATAGAAATCTATAAAATCAAACAGGACTAGACAAGATAAATACGGGAAGGATGTTCTAATTTGGGGAGTTCTACACCAGACCTCACAGTTTAAGGATATGAGGTAGGCCATTTAGGACTGAGAGCGAGGAGGAATTTCTTCCCCCAGAGAGTGGTAAGCCCTGAGTATCATCAGGGCTACTCTATCCCCTTTTCCAGTTTATTCATCTTTTAGAAATGTTGGAATATTTATTTCCTAACCTTGGTCACCTTGTAACCATGGACACAATTTAATGGTTGGCAGTGTTTCCCTCCCCAGCAAAGACACTTCTCTGTCAAAGTTGACTGATGTCCTGCTACTTAACATTTGGAGGAGTGTTAATAGGCTGAAGGGGAGGTGTCCAGCCCTGAAGACATCTGTCTCAGACAGCTGACTTACTGGCAGTTAGGGGGTGCTGGCCACATCCATTCCAGTGCAAGGATACAGTTACATACTGGGGTTGGGGGTTTTGGCAGGGATGAGAGGGAAATATCCAAAGGGGATGTTAGAGGGGGTTGAGGGTATTTTTGAAGAAGCTAGAATGTGAGGAAGCACTGGGGAGGGGTCCGTGGCGGGGTGACTGCACTGTGGGGGTGGGGCAGACTTTAAAGGGGGCATGAGGATTGTGAAGCTGTGCCAATGAGGAGAGGTACTCTCAGCACGCCCGCTTTCAGGTCCAATGCCTGAACAGAATAATATACCAGCTCCCCACCAACACACACAACATAGCAACCTCCTCCCCCTGCCAGACAAACATTGGCCCATATGTGGTATTAACTGGGCAATAATTGCTTACTTAATAATCTCAACTGGGGCAATATCGATCTCAACCACCAACGAGAGGTTTTTGGGCGGGTGGGGGAAAGGGGGGCAGTGGTGGTGGGAGGCCGTCTGGGTAATTTTACAGGCACACCCACGTAGAAACCCACTGAAGGCCTGCTCCATGTTTCTGTAATGATGGTTGCAATACAACCACTTTTCTCTTGTTCTTAAGAAGTGTCATACTGGACGAGAAACGTTAACTCTGTTTCTCTCTCCATAGACACTGTCAGACCTGCTGAGTTTCTCCGGCATTTTCTGTGTTTGTTTCCCTTATCTCTATTGATCTTCCTTATGAACATGCATTCAGATAAAGTGCCTTTAATTTTTTTTAAAGCACTATTCTTAACATCAACCTGATTTGCTGATGCACTATTAATGCTCAGCTCTCTGACCCTTCCTGTTAACTTTGCTTGTTCTTACCCAAATAACTGCACTGCAACATTGCATCAACTTTTCTCATTAGATATCTACATCTTCCTTCACCCCTCCCCTAACTCTTTTCTTGGTTTAATGCCCTATTCACAGCGCTGGTTATATAATTCTCTGGGACACTGATCTCAGCCTGGTTAAATCATAGAATCCCTACAGTGTGGAAGCAGACCATTTGGCCCATCGAGTCCACACTGGCCCTCCAAAGAGCATCCCATCCAGATCCACCTCCCTACCCTGTCCTATCCCTGTAACCCTACATTTCCCATGGCTGATCCACCTAACCTGCACATCTTTGGATTGTGTGGGGAAAGCAGAGCACCCGGTGGGAACCCACAGGGAGAATGTGCAAACTCCACACAGACAGTCACCTAAGGGCGAAATCGAACCCAGGTCCCTGGTGCTGCAAAGCAGCAGTGCTAACCACTGTGTCACTGCTAAAGGGAGGGTAGTAAAGGGGAGCCCATCCCAATGAAAAAGCCCTCTTTGTCCCTTGCATTAGTCCAGGGTTCAGTAAATTAAAACCTTTCCTTCCCATACCACTCTATGAGCCATGCATTAAATTAGCTAATCTATATTCGTAACATTCACCATGACACCCAAGGATATGGGAGAAGTGCAGGAAATTGGGGTTAGTGCACCTTTAGCAGTAGTTATTGTCAGCGCAGAGCCGGTGGGCTGAAGGGCTTTGTCTGCGCTGTATGACTCTATGGTTTGACCCTCGGAGATTATTCCCTTTTCATTTCTACGTTTTGATTCAGATGCGCCAACTCCACAAACTCGCTACGTCATCGATTCCTCCGTGGACCGAGCCAACTGGTTTCTCTCAGCACCCCCACTCCCCTCCCCCAGTGCCCCCTCACAGTAAGTGCACCTCAGGAGTCCCACTTGCCTCTGTACAAGACGGCGAATCCCTCAGCTTGGTTAACCCGGTCCGAGTAAAAGTACAAGATGACAAAGCTGGCCGACACGTTCAGGGAGTTGTAGGGCCGGTTCCTGCCATCAAACCTGGCGAGAACGTCATTGCTGCGGCCATCCAGAAACTCCACCATGTCACTCGAGTCGCGGATGTCAAACAGGGCAAAGTCGAACCGGATGAGAGATGCCCCGGGCACCTGAATGGTCCAGTAACACACCCTGCTGCTTGCGTAGTTGTCGGGGAAATCTGGAGAGTAAATGATGCCGGCGTCCATCGAGTAATTCCCACCACAAGCCCCGATCTTTGCTGCAAGAGAGAGGAGAACAAGTATGAGGCCAACTCAGGACTTTAACCAACAGCTCTTTCGTTTATCACTCACCAGTTTCGATCAAAATCAGGAACAGGCTGCCTTCTCATTGCCAAAGTAAAGGTTAAACTACTGGGGAGCAATTGAAGTGAAAAACCTAAGCAATGTATAGCCCTCTTCTGGTGCAGTGGTAGCGTTCCTACCCCTAGACTGGGAGGCTTGGGTTCAAGCCCTACCTGCTCCAGAGATATGTAATAACATATCTGATTAGGAAAAGAGGTTAAATCAGGAAAAAAGCCTAATGGAAGGAAGAGTATATATAGTGGATGATACCACCAGGACAAGAAAATTTAGCATCTGCTTTTCAAGCTACAGCAAGAATCTACACTTGGAATTGAGCCATTTCTTTCAGAAAGAAATGGAACTGACCAAACTGGGTGTGAGGTTTAGTTTAGGTACGTTTTCCTTACAACTTCTGCAGCCATTGAACAGAAATCGCATTGTAAGGCGGCACAATGGTGCCTCAGAATGAACGCGACCCTGCTTAATCACTGGCGCTGTTCCCCAGCTGGCAAGTCACCAGTACTGGCATGATATCGAGGGGTGGCAGGGAGGGGAACTGGGTAACTCACAGGAAATTTGGAGAAATCAGGGCCTCGAGTCCTCCAGTATCCGAATGAGGACACACACTTAACAATTCGCAGCGCAGTTTGCAAGAGTGATTTTCCTCGAAAGAATAGCTTCAGGAAAAGGATAATACAATAAAAAAAACTCACTCCACCTACTTGATGGCATAATGAGTGAAACAAAGCAGGATGCTCATTTATGTGGTGCTTTTAACTATCTTAGGATATCCAAAAGTACCTTCCAGCCAATGTAATATTTTTGAAGTGTAGTCATTAATGTCATAGATGAGATGCATCAGCCAGTTTGTGCACTACAAGCTATCCCAAACAACAATGTGATAATGGCCAGATCATCTGTCTTTTTTTAAGTGCTGACTGAGGGTTAAATATTGGCCACAGTACTGAAAGGAACTCCTTTGTTCTTTTTCAAAGAAAATGCCACGGGATCTTTTAAGTGCCCCGGAGAAGGTAGACTGTCTCAGTTCAATATCTCATTTGTAAGACTGCACTTATGACACTGCAGAATTCCCTCAGTACTGTACTGAGGTCAGCCTACATCCTGTGCTCAAGTCCATGCAGTGAGACCTGGATTCAATACCTTCCGATTCAGTGAGAGTGCTGACACACACCAATCCAGAACTAAATAAAAACCGAAAGAACTGCGGATGCTGTAAATCAGGAACAAAAACAACGTTGCTGGAAAAGCCCAGCAGGTCTGGCAGCATCTGTGAAGGAAAAATCAGAGTTAACGTTTCAGGTCCGAACTCTGAATTTTTCTTCACAGATGCTGCCAGATTTGCTGAGCTTTTCCAGCAACTCTGTTTCTGTTCCAGAACTAAATAAACATAATCTATAAACCATAATGTTCTCAGTCCACCAGCTGGAAGCACAACTCAGTGTGGCACACAGAAACACCATCAGCACTATAAGAATTGAAGGAAATCATTATTAGTAAGGAGGTTTCATTGTGGAAATTAATGAGACCGAAGATTGTTAAGTCCGTAGGACCTAATAACATACATCCCAGAGTGTTGAAAGAGATAGCTTTGGAAATAGTGGATGCATTGGTGATCGCCTTCTAAAATGTTATAGATCCTAGAACGGTCTTTACAGACTGGAAGATAGCAAATGTCTCTGTTTAAGAAGGGATAAAGAAACAAAATGGAGAACCATATACCGTTAGCCTTATATAAATAGAAGCGAAAATGCTAGAACCTATTATAAAGGATGGGATAATTGGACACTTGGATAATAATGATCTGATTGGACACACTCAGCACATAATTGTGAATGGGAAGTCGTGTTTGACAAGATGGTTGGCGTTTTCTGAGGATGTCACTCACAGAATTTAAAACAGACACTAAAGTATCTGAGAAAGTGAGTAATGAAGAGGACATATAGAGTCTACAAAGGGATATCGATAGGTTAAGTGAGTGGGCAAAGATCTGGCAAATGGAGTACAATGTGGAAAAATGTGAAATTGTCCATTTTGGTGGAACGAATGAAAAAGAAGCACATTATCTAAATGGTGAGAAGTTGCAGAGCTCTGACATGCAGAGAGATCTGGGTGTCTTAATGCATAACTGGCAGAATAATAGTGTGCAAGTTCAGCAAGTAACCAGGAAAGCTAATAGAATGGTATGTTTTATTGTGAGGTGAATTGAAGGCAAGAGTGGGGAAATTATGTTTCAGTTACACAGGACATTGATGAGACTACATCTGTAGTATTGTGTACAGTACTGGTCACCATACTTACAGAAGGATGTAAATGCATTTGAAGCAATTCAGAGATGGTTTACTTGAATAATATCTGGAATGAGTGGATTGCCTTATTAGGAAAGGCTAGGCAAGCTAGGCCTGTATCCTCTGGAGTTCAGAAGAGGCACAAGTGACTTAAATGAAACAAAAGCTTCTGAGGGGAATTAACCATGCGAATGTCAAATGGTTGTTTTCTCTTTTGGTTGAATCTAGAACCGGAAGTCATAATTTGAAAAAAAGAAAGAGGACGCCCATTTAAGCCAGAGATGAGGAAACATTTTTTTTTCTCTCTGAGATTTGTGAGTCTTTGGAATTCCTTTGCTCAAAAGGCAGAATCTTTAAATATTTCTAAGACAGAGGTAGGTAGGTTCTTGATGACCATGGTGATGAAAGATTGTTGGGGGTATGCAGGAATGTAGGGTTGACTTAAATTCTGAGCAGCCATGGATCTTATTAAATGGTGTTACAAGCTTGATGGGCCGAGTGGCCTACTCTTGTTCCTCGTTCATATGTTCATAATTGATCAATGGGAGTCAATGGATGTTGTATACTCTGATTTTCACTTTGATAAAGGACCCCACGGGAGTTTGGTTAGCAAAATTAATTTGCATGCCAAGGATCGGTTAGTAGACTGAAAACAGAGAGTAGGAATAAGCAGGTGGTTCTTGCATTGACAGGCTATGGCCAGTGAGGTGTCACAAGGATCAATACTTGGGCTCCCGATGTTCACAATATATACCAAAGATTGGGATGTGGGGACCAGATGGAATATTTCCAAGATTGCAGAAGACACAAAGATAGATGAGAATATGTACAGTGAAGGAGAATCAAAGTGGCTTCAAAAGGATTTGGCCAGACTTAGCGAGTGGGGCAAGAACGCAAAAGATGCAATATAATGTGGAAAAATGTGAGGATATTTACTTTGGTTGGAAGAATAGGTGTGTGGGTATTTCTTAAATAGGTACAAAGCACAGATGCAGAGGGATGCTCATGGCCCTGTTGATAAGTCACTGAAGGATCATATGCATGTGTAGCAAGCTATTAGGGAGCCTAATGGAATGTTAGCCTTTATTGCAAGGGAATTTGAGTCCAGGAGTTGTGATGTCTTGCTTTCATTATATAGGAGTTTGATTAGACAGCACATGGAGTACTCTGTGCAGTTTTGGTCTCCTTATTTCACAAAGAATACTATTGGCACAGAGGGAGTGCAATGAAGGTTTTCCCAGACTTGCTCCTGGGATGGCAGAATGTACTGTGAACAGTGGTTGGGCAAACTGGGTCTGCATTCTCTGGAGTTTTGAAGAATGAGAGGTGAAACCTACAAGATACTTAAAGAGTGGATGCAGGTAAGATGTTGGGTGTGGAGTCTAGAACCGGAATGAGAAATCATTTCAAAGTAAGGACAAAGCTGCTGAGCACTAAGCTGAAGATTTTGTTTGACTCAGCGTGTCAAGCTTTTCAATTCTATACCACAGAGGACTATGGAAGATAGTGTTTGAGTACATTGGAGGTAGAGATTGAAGATTTCAGAACATCAATGACATAAAGGGATATGGGGATAATGCAGGAAAAAGCATATCGAGGTGGATGATCAGCCATGATTGTATTGAATGACAAAAAAAACACAACAGGCTGAATGGCCTTCTCCTGTAACAGCAGCACTGTGGCTCAGTGGTTAGCATTCCTGCCTCACAGTGCCAGGGACCCAGGTTCAATTCCACCCTTGGGTGACTGTGTGGAGTTGCATATTCTCCCTGTGTCTGTGTGGGTTTCCTCTGGGTACTCTGGTTTCTTCCCACAGCCCAAAGATGTGCAGGTTAGGTGGATTGGCCATGCTAAATTGTTCACAGTATGCAGGCTGGGTCAATTAGCCATGGGAAATGCAGTGTTACATGGGGGTGTAGGATGTTGGGTCTGGGTGGGATGATCTTCAAAGGATCCTTGTGGACTTGATGGGCTGAATGGCATGCTTCCACACGATAGGGATTCTATGATTTTATACCTGTATTCCAATATTCCAATAAACATGCAATTAAATGGCTTAACCCTATAAGCCATCACTTACGGCATTATTAGTGTGCATCAAGAGTACAAAGTGTGCTCATGGCTGGTATTAGCATGAGTAATTGATGAAACTGGCAATAGAAAACAGACTTAAAGCTGAATAAAACCACTTCATAAAGTTTCCAGGATACGCTATTAAAAAAAATAATAGATACCCTAGAGGGCTTTGCAAGCAACAATCTTTGTTTTTTTTTGTGTGGTATATGACATCATCTGAAACTAGTTATTGGTCTGTTGGTTGGTAATTGCTCCCAGGTATTCTCTTTGCATTTAACTTGGTGTTGGAGCTCTGTCATATGCTGAGACTTTATTCTTGGAGCATTTAGCTTCTCTGCTTTGGTGTGGCAATTGGAGATAATTGAAAGCAGCACAAGGCTGGAACATCTTGTTTATTGTTTTGTGTGGAGCAACAAGCCAAGGATAAGTCAACAAGTGTCTGTAAAAGCAACTCAGAAATGTATCAAAATTCACAGGAGGCAACGTGGTTCATAGCTTGACCTATCTATGGGGCTTCTTCATGGATTTTTCAGATTCTGGCTGAGCCATTGTGCAGTTTCAAAACTCTGTGCCCTTCTTTTAGATTTCCAATGTTGGCATTTTTTTGCACTGTTGCATTTTAGTGCCCGGTGCTCATCGTGCTCTCTCTGGAGGGGATCCCCAATCCCATGTTCAGCCCATACGTAGTTCTCTTTCCCATCACCACTTTTTAATTTTGTCTATTTCTGCAAATACTTGAAAGCTAGAAGTTTTGCAACGCTTCATTGCTTCAGAAGATCACAGTACTAAATTTAAACAAGTACCGGAGGATGATTAGCAATCATGGGATGCTGCTCTGACAAGTCAGCAACTTTGGAGCATGAAGACTGAGTGTAATAATCTCCCAGACACAAGGCAGAAAAAATAATGGCTGTTTAATTATAGGTCGCTCCACTTCAAATAGAAAAGCAATCGAAAGAAATCACGATGGTTTCAGATATCCAATATGTTATTACAAACACATTTGTAATTGTGATCATTCACATTTCTTAGGAAATTTTGTATTTCATATTATTTCAGGAAAGTAAACGAATTGCTTCCTTGTACTTTTCTTGAGAAAATGAACATCGGAGTTGAGTAGGCAAAGTGAGACCTACTTTTAAACAAAACTCAAATCTTTATTCCAAATTATAGCTAGATTTCTTTTCAATTTCAGGATCATGGTGGATTTTGGTACCGTCTGTCATACTGGCAGGGAACACCATGTTCTCCCAGCAGGGATCACATTCTCCCAGTGGGGGCCATGTTCTCTCAATGGGAGTCATGTTCCCTCAACAGGGGTCATGTTCTCTGACAGGGACAATGTTCTTCCAGTGAGGATCACGTTCTCCTAGCGGGCACTACATTCTCCCAGTAGGGACCATGCTAGCAGGCAGCATGAATGGGAAATGGAGGCTAATATGACCATCAATGATGTCAACAACAACTTGCATTGGTATAAAATTTGTAAACTAGTCGAACCTCCCAAAGCATTTCGCATGAGAGTACAACGAGCCATATGAGTAGTCATTAGGGCAGACGACCAAACCTTGCTTAATGTGGTAGGTTCTAAGGAGTGTCTTAACGTTAGACAGAATGATGGTAGGATGGAGAGGTGTAAGGAGGGAAGTCTAAAATGTAGGACCTAGACAGATGAAGGCACAGCCAGCAGTATGGGACATGGAAATATTGGATGTACGAGTGACCAATTTGCTTCTACTGCATTTATGTTCTTTCTTAAATAAAGTGACCAATATTGTGCACAGTACTCCAGATAATCCAATGCCCTGTATAACTTCTATAATTTGGTTTAAATTCCTCTAATGATAAGGATAACATTCTATTAGTTTTCCCAAATACTTGCTGTATCTGCATACCAACCTTTTGTGATAAATGCACGTGGACACACAGATCCGTCTGCATCTCAGAACTCCACAATCTCTCACCATTGAGATAATACACTTTTTTATAAAAAGTCTTTGTATCAAAAAGGGCAAGTTCACATTTTCCAACATTACACTTTATTTGTCACAGCTTTGATACTCTGGTCCAGGCTCACGTGAGAATCATTTTCTGTGACAAAGAACAAGCCCTACTGTCACAAAGCTCACCATCAAAGATATTTATCCTGCCATCTCCTCCACAGGGCTGGGTGTGATCTCCGAAGCACACGTGGTTGCATTCTGTGCTGTTCGCCTCTCCGTGTTTCCAATAATCAGCATCATTCCCACAGAAACATGCATAACCAGACTCCATGCCAGCAAGCTGCAACAATAAATGAATAATGTTAACAATACAGATATAAAACAGAACAGCTGGAGTTATCTTATAAAAGAAAAAAGCGAGGTTGTTTCACGCAAAGCATTCAGACAGCCAAATGTTATGTAACTCATCTTTCACTGCATGGCCTTTTTGTATTTAAAAATTGCTTACTTTTCAACTCTTTTTTTGTCTCGTTTTCATCATCTCTCCCAATTCCATCCTCTTCCCCATTCTCTACAAAATGGGAGTGACAGTGAAATCTGTCCAGCATAGAGTATTATATTGCCTGATGATATAAACTAGTAAAAGTATGCTTCCTAGAATTAAGGCGAATTTTGTTTCTGAAAGTGCTGATGTTAATCCAGATGTTGAAAGTTGCTCCAATACTGGGGTTTTCAATTGGCAATGCCCTAATAATCTGCCCCACTGCCTCCGAACCTGCTCCTAGGAGGGCACTAAACTACCCCCTCAGCAAATTTACGTAAGACTGAGCCTGTGTTCTGTGGAGTTTGGAAGAACATGAATCAGGAGCAGGAGTAGGCCATTCAGTTCCTTCAAGCCTCTCCACAGTTCAACACACTCATGGCTGATCAGTCTATAAGTTCAAAAGCACATTCCCACCGAATCCCCTTTTGTTTAACGGAAATCTATTCACCCCTGCCTTAAAAATACTTAATGACTCGGAGGTTGAGAGGTGACCTTCAATAGGTTTAAAAAAATCACACGGGGTACAGATAGGATTAATGGTAAGTGTCTTTACTCTAGGATGGAGAATTTCAAGACTCCAGGGCATATTTTGAATGTGAGAGGAGAGAGATTTAAAAAAGACATGAGAGGCAATTTTTTTTACACAGAGGATGGTTTGCATGTAGAACGAGCTTCCTGAGGAAGTGGTGGATGCAGATACCGTTATAACATTAAAAAGACATTTGGATAAGTAAATGAATAAGAAATATTTGGAGAGATATGGGCCAAGTGCAGGCAGGTGGGACTAGTTTAGTTTGGGATTATGGTCGACATGAACTGGTTGGACCAAAGGGTCTGTTCCCATGTTGTATGACTCTATGACCCTGCTTCCACCACCTTTTCAAGAAGTCTTCCTCTGACAGAAAGATTTTCACTTCTTCTCTGTTCTAAATGGGCAAGCCTGATTTTTAAATAATGACAACCTAGTTCTAGATTCTCCCATAAGAGGAAACATCCTCTCCACATCTATCCTGCCAAGGTGCCATGGGATCATGTATGTTTCAATCAAGTCACCTGTTACTTTTGAACTCCAGCAGATACAAGCCTAGTCTGTACAGCCTTTTCTTATTAGACAATCCATACTCTCCAGGTATTAGTTGAGTAAACCTTCTCTGAACTACTTCTAACACATTTACATTCTTCCTTAATTAACGTGACAAGTACTGAGCACAGTACTCCTGGTGTGGTCTCACTAATGACCAGTGTAACATAAACATAGCCTCCCTCCTTTTGTATTCAATTCCCCTCATGATAAATGATAAGATTCTATTAACTTGTCCAATTACTTGCTGCACCTGCACCTATTGCGTCTTGCAAACCTGAAAAGACCTACTTACACTTTTTTTCTGTTAGCTAGCCAATCTTCTATCCATGCCAAAATGCTATCCCTGAAACTATGTGCTTTTATATTCTACAATAACCTTTGATGTGGCACCTTATCAAATGCCAACCTAAGTACAGTACATCCATCAGTTCCCCTTTGTCTACAGCATGTGTTACCTCCTCAAATAACTCCAATAGATTAGTCAAATATGATTTCTCTTTCACAAAACTATGCTGTTTCTGCCGAACTATCTTGAAGCTATCCAGGAGCCATGTTATATCTTTCTTAATAATTGATTCTAACATTTTCCTTATGAGACATTTTAAGTTATTTGGCTGGTAGTTTCTTTCTTTCTATGTCCCTACCTTTATGAATTTAACTGGAAGGGACAATACCCTTATAAAGAGCATCTAGGAAAATTAAAACTAACACATCAAGTACCTCATTGGCTACTTCTTGTAAGGTCCTCTGATGAAGTCCATCAGGACTCAACCACTTGTTAGCCGCAGCTCCAGCAGTTTACTCAATACCACTTCTCTGATGATTATGATTTTCCTGAGTTCCTCTGACCCTTCCATCTCCTGATTTAACACTGCTCCTGGGATATGCTTGTATCCTCTATATTGAAGGCTGATGCAAAATACCTGTTCAATTCATTTGCATTTCCTCAGCTTCCATTAGTAATTCTCCAATCTGACTTTCTAATAGGACCCAATCTCACATTCTTAAGTATTTTCCATTTTAAATATTTATAGAAGCTTTTATAACGTGTTTTAATATTTCTGGCTAGCTTTCTTTTGTGCTTGCATGTTTTTCCTCTTCAATCTTTTTTTTGGTAATTGCTCGCTATTTTTTATATTCTGTCCAATATTCTGACCTGCTACCCATCTATGCACAATTATGTGTTTTTTCTTTAAGTATGGCACTACCCTTAACATTTCTAGATAATCATGAATGATGGCTCCAACCCTTGGAATTTTTCTTACTCATTGGAATACATCAATTCTGTAAATTCCGTGTGCCACCATATTTTCAGTGACCTATCTTTTAAACTAATTTGCTAATTCACTTCAGCCAGCTCTGCTTTGTTGCCACTTTCATCCTTAATGAAATATTAATAATAGATGCAGACTCGCTCATCTCACCCTCAAACCAAATGCAAAATTCAATCATATTACAGTCACTGCTACTTAGGGGCACTTTCATTATGCAATTATTAATTACCCTTATCTTGCCACACAATACCAGATTTTGTACAGCCTGCTTGGGTTGGCTCTAAAACATAGCCTCAACATATTCTTTGAACTCCACATCTAAGCTATTTTTTCCCATCTGACATTTTGAGTCAATACGTAGATTAAAATCTCCCATCACTATCACCAGGCCTTTCTGACAAACTTTCATTATTTTTTTGCCCCCACCCTACTGCGCGGTTACTGTTATGGGGCCTGTACACCTCTCCCACAAGTCACTTCTTACCTCTATCATTTCTCATTTTTACACAAACATTTTCTACACCTTAGTTTCCTGAACTTAAGCCATCCCTCTCTATTGTGCTGATTCCATCATTAACAAACAGAACCATTCTTTCACCTTTCCCTCCTTTCCTGTCTTTCTCAAACGTCCAGATTCAGGTCCCAATCTGTGTCATCCTGTAGCTATTTCCCTGTAAGTTCCACTCCTAACTGTTGGTTGGTTCTTAGATTCATACTGTCTCTCCCTTCTTGTCATGCTTTGTTTATCATTTCCAATATTAATACCTTTCTCTTTAGCTTTGCCTTTGCTCTTCATTTTACCACATTTTCCCAAATTTAATCCCTTGCCTCAACTATTCAGTTTAAAATCCCCTTTACTTCACTAGTTATGCAGTTGGCAAGAATACCAGGCCCAGCACAGATCAGGTGATGATTATCCCATTTTCCCCAGTACTGATACCAGTGCCCCACAACCCAGAAACCACTTCTACCACACCTGAATAGAATAAACCTTAAATGCTTACCAGATACTCACCAATTTTAAGCTTCTTCTCCTGTAGCAGAATAAGAATCAATTCCTGGAGGCTGAAAATGTTAACGCAAAAAGCTAAGGCCACAAGACACCTCTTTCCCTCCCGCCTCCCCTATTCCCCTCCCAGAGTACCTAATTCATTTAACTCCAACTCTCCATTATACATTGCATTCAAATTCCAAAGCGCACTAAGTTGGCTAGTTTTATATGCTTCTGGCTCATTTAATAAGGATACAGTTTTTCCGGTTCTAAATGATGCTGATCCTTCATTGGAATCCCTGTAAAATCCCTGCTTAAGGTTAACAATTACACACTTTAAACTATAGATTTCAGTTTAGTGTCAATAACGGTTATAAATTAAATTAGATTTGTACAAAATAAAAACTCAGATTTTCCTGCCCAACAGCTGCTCACACTCAGTCCTAAATTATAAAATTCTTAAAGGACAAGAGAGAGTAGATGAAGAAAGGATCTTTTCCGTGGGTAAGGGGAGGATCTAAAACAAAGAGATATTGTCTCAGACTGAGGGGTAATCCATTTATAACTGAAAATGAATATGTGGTGGAATGTTGTGGGATGTGGCTCAGATGGTGGTGAAGTTTGAAAGTCTCTATCCAAGAGAGCTGTGGGAACTTAGCCATTGAGTGAGTTCAAGAGAGATATTTATAAATTTCTAGGTATTAAAGCTATTAATGGGTATGTGTGTGGTGTGGGATATAGAGGGAGATGATCAGCTCTGATCTAGAGGGGTAGAATAGGCTTGAGAGGCCGAATGGCCTGCTCCTACTCCAATGTTCTGACTGCATAGAAAGAGGATATTTGACCCATAGTGTCCAAAAATTAACCTTGTCATCCCTTCTCACTGTCCAGCTCTTGGCCCACAGCGATAGAGTTAATGTTAGTGTTAGGGTTAGGGTAAAACATTTTGAATGCACATTCAAGTAGTTTTTATGTGCAATGGAGAGTTTCATGTCTCTGCTATCTTTCAAGACAGTTCCAGCAGGTGAAGAAAAAACCCTTATTCCTTTCATGCAATTACTTTAAATCTACAGCCTCAGTTATTGTTATATCTGCGAAGGGAAATATATTCTTACCAAACACTTTATCTAGACTTCTCATCATTTTACCACCTGAATTCAGTCTCCCCTTTGCCCCTTCAGCCTATTCAATCTTTCCTCAGGGCAAAACTTCTCTATCCCTGTTAATATACATGCTAATTTTTGCACTGTCTTGTATGAAACATCGTCCCTGTGATGTGACCAGATTGTATGCAATACTTTTGCTGTGTTTAATGAGTTTTTTATACTGTTTGAGCATTTTCTGCCCACTCTTGGATCATGTGATAAAGGAAAGTCTTTTTGGATCAGGATCTGTCTACCTTTTTACTTTTAGAGATCTAATGAGATTTTTGTTTTCTTCCTTATTGTCTCATGAAATGTAGGTGTTACTGACAAGTACAGCATTTGTCGCCCATCCCTAATTGCCCCTGAACTAAGTGGCTTGCGAGTTCATTTCAAAGGGCATTTAAGGGTCAATCGAATCAATGTGGATCTGCAATCACATGGAAGCTAGATCAGGTAAGCATGGCAGATTTCCTTCCCTAAAGACATTAGTGAACCAGATGTGTTTTCACATTAGATTCTGGAGTGAACAAAGTTAAATGCCACCAGCTGCTATAATTGAATTTGAACCCATGTCTCTAGAGAATTAATCGAGCACCTCTGGATTACTAACCAAGTGACATTACCACTACACTACTGTCTTCCACAAGGACTCCAAAGTGCCTCCATTCCTCTTACCATCCTGCATCCTACCATCTATTGTGCATTCTCTTGCCTTGTTTAGTCTCCTTAAGTTAATTACCTCATACTCCTCCAGGCAGAATATCAATTTGCACTTTTCTCTCTACTTGAATAGTCCATTGGTACTTCACAGAATCTATAGCCTTTCTCCCTCACTATCAACCAGACAACCATTGTTTCTATCAACTGCTAACTATCTCCTATATTTGATTCTATATCATTGCTCTATAACACAAAGAGCAAAGGACTGAGTAGTGAGGCCTAGAAGTCCCATTGGAAATAGAGTTCCAATCACAAAAACATTTGATTTTTACCCTTTGATATGTTGAGCCAAGGTTGGTTTCAACTTGCCAATTTATACCACGTCTTACAAATATTTACTCACCTGACCGTTCTGTCATGTGGGATCTTAACAATGGCTAAAACTCAAATCAATTGTATCAAATGTACTCTTCTCATCAGCCTCTATTATCTCCCCAAATAGTTCAATTAAATATTCAGACATAATCTTTCCTTAACAAATTCATGCTGACTGTCCTTGAGTAGTCCAGGCCTTTTTAAAATTTTCTCCTGCCCATCAGAAACGCTTCCAATAATTTTTTGACTGCCAATGTCAGGCTGATTGGCCAGTTTTTATTCAGTCTATAGCTTCCCCACTTTTTAGCAAAGGTACGGTGTTGGCAGACCTCTGACATCATGCCTATAGATAGACAGGAGTGGGAAATGAGATGGTCCATGTGCCCTGTTTGCACATCTTTAAAACTTTAAGGGAGTCTTAACCTCATTGTACAATATCCAACAATATCCACTAATGATGAACTAAACACAGTTTGGTGACTGCCCTCCCACCAATGATGCACTTCTCAGTCTCATCATTAAGCTGAGGAAATCCTTGCTCCTCAACTTAGTCCTCGCTGCCATCATTTGGCTGTGAGAGGAGTTTCTTTGTCACGTATTGGGGGGTGGAATCCTTGACCTGACTGACTTATGTTTGTGGACCAGGAATCTCAGCTCCAACATAACACTGCTTCCGGGATGTTGCTTGTATCCTCTATAGTGCAGACTGACGCAAACTACCTGTTCAATCCATCTGCCATGTCCTGATTTTCCATTAGTAATTCACCAACCTGACTGCCTACAGGACCAAATCTCACTTGGTTAACTCTTTTCTGCTTTAAATATTTGTAGAAACTTTTACGATCTGTTCTGATATTTCTGGCTAGCTGTCTCTCGCATTCCAATTCTCATTCCCTGAGCGAGTGGCAGCATCAGGTAGGAGCAGAGCCTGAGACAAACTTTGTGGATAAGAGAGAATCCCCTGTCATGAAAGGCTACAGCCCCAATAAATGAAGAGCCCATGGTTTCAGATGATCAACTCCTCCAACTGAGGCTGAGTGAAATATAAGGTTCTAATCCATCTCCAATTCTACAGAGTAGAATGTTCCATTTGTTCTCAGCATGCGTTATTAGACAAGCTTAATATTATTGTAAAAACATACAAGGTGGAATAAGAAATTTGACACCTTGTCCTCACATCTCCCTTGCCCAATGTCCCATAACCCACAGTTCTCAGGCCTTGTGACTCTGTTAAAACAGAATCACTCCCAGTGACCTCAGTACAATTATTGTGAATCTCACAATTGAGTGTAACTCTGCCGCAGTGTCACACATTTAGCAAATCCTTCTCACTCCGGCCTAAAGTCCTTTTCTTCTCGGAATTTCATCTCTATGATCCATTACAATTAATTTAAAACAGCAATCTGGCGTGTACCTTGAATCGCTTGCTCCTGCAAAACTTAATGCAGGTCTGGATGGTCAGCTTGTTGGAGGTTTCACTGCTGCCTGATAAAGGTGGTGGGTCACCATTGTCTTTGAAACAGCCCAGGTAGCCCGGCACTGAGGAAAACCAAAAAGCAGTAAATTAGCAACTATGTTCAGTAGCTTCGAGATACAGTGACACAAGCGGGCTATTCAAATTCATTGACAATTAGTTTCCCTTGGTTCGAGAATGAGTTGGATGGTTTTGTGTGAGATAACAGAATCAGGGGATGATTAATAAAAAAAAGGTGGAGAAGATTGAATTACTATCTTGGTAGCTGAATGGCAACTAGGTTTTTAAAATTCATTCATGGAATGTGGACATCACAGACTGTACCAACATTTATTGCCAATTCCTAGTTGCGCCTTGAGAACATGGTGGTGAGCTGCCAAGTTACAAGGGGCTCAATGACCTATTCCTGAATGACTTTAAGTAAGTCCCAGTACCTTGGGGTCTTTTTAAATAAAAAAAACTGACTAATCACTTCTTCAAAGGGCACCTCCTTGTTCAGGCACCCATTTACTCTCCGTCATGAATTTGCAGCTCCCAACTTGGCTGATAGTGCTGCCAATGTGTCAGAGCGGGAAGGCCGTCTGTTAGTCCTCCAACTCCAGGGGTTCATCCACTGTCCTTATTTGGTCAACGAACCCACTTTCTGACATCACTTGGCCTGGCTCTTTAAGAGTCCCAGTGCATATCTCTGAAACAATACTGTGTGGGGTCAGGACCCAGAACTGAATTAAGGCCAGGGTCCCAAACAATGGAAGGTTCCCCAGTGGAGCTGGGCCTACTGCTCTATGTGGGCAAGGCCTACACTGACTCATTGAGACATTACTGAAGCCCAGATCCATTAAGCCTTGATCATGAACAAAACAAATCAAAACATTGACCAAACTCTGCTCTTCATGGTCGCTTATTCCCACGGATAGTGATCTCCACAGTGATCTTTGCTTGAACTGTTCAGGTTATAGATGGCAGACAATTTGGCCTGATCCATATTCAGTAAGACAGACAGCAGGTACAATTTAATTAAAATTCCAAAAATCAGTCACTTTAATCCTCAATTAGCAGCAGCGCAACATTTTTGCAGCAAATTTGTGTGAATAACGCTTAACCGGCGTCAGTGTTGTCCCAGATACACATCTGAGACTGGTAAAGTTCCACTGACCCTAGAGTTTAAATGGAGGTGTTGAAAATGAATGGAGAGGATGTGGAAAAATGCACGAATGTGAAACTGGAGATAAAAATATTAATTCTGAAGACTAACTAAGGAAACGTAGCTTGCATTCCGTTCAGTGTGAATTAGCAAAGTGTTTAAGATGTTTAATGATTTTAATGGCTGGATACAGAGAATCTACTTCCTCAGGTAATCAAGCAAGAACAAGAGGATGCAATTTCAAAATTGGAATAAGGCTATTTAGGAGTGAAACCAGGAAGCAATTTTTCACATAATGGTCATTGAAATTTGGAACTCTCATCTCCAAAAGGCTGCGGATACCTGGACAATTGCATCTTCCAAGACTGAAGTAGATAATTCAGTATTAAATAACAATAAAGGATATGAAGTCAGAGCAAGTCAATCGAATTAAGGTGCAGAGAAACCCTATAATATAATTAAATATTGAAGTGACTAAATGGCCACTCTGTTGCTAGTGCTAAGAACATAAGAAATAGGAGCAAGATTAAACTTGCTAGTCTGCTCCACCATTTAATAAAATCATGACTGATCTTTACTTCATCTAAACCTTTCAGTGCTACCCCTCAATTCCTTTAATCTCCAAAATCTATCAATCACTGATTTGAATATATGTTCATAACATGAAATTCCATTCATCAGAACAAATTACTTCAATCTCATGAATACATTAACTGTCAGAGGCTTCTATAATCATAGAAGATGAAAGAACTGCGGATGCTGTAAATCAGAAACAAAAATAGATATTGCTGGAAAAGCTCAGCAGATCTGGCAGCATCTGTGGAAATCAAAGTTAACGTTTCAGGTTGAGTGACACTCCCTCAGCACGATGGCACAGAGGTTAGCACTGCTGCCTCACTGTGTTAGGGACCCAGGTTCAATTCCACCCTTGTGTGACTGTCTGTGTGGCATTTGCATGGTGTATGTGTGTGTGACTGTGCGCGCGTGTGCGTGTGTGCGTGTGTGTGTGTTTCCTCCAGAAGTTCTGATTTCCTCCCACAGTCCAAAGGTGTGCAGGATAGGTAGATTGGCCATGCTTAATTGCTCATAGCGGCAAGGTGGATTGGCTGTGGGAAATGCAGGGTTACAGGGATAGAGTAGTAGGGTGGGTGACGATGGGATATTCTTTGGAGGGTCAGTGTGATCTCGATGGGCTGAATGGCCATGATAGGGATTCTATAATTCTAGAACTGATGGTTGCTAGGAGAATAGCTACCATCAGTTGTGAGGGACAGTCACTCAATCCAAAACGTTAACCCTGATTTCTCTCCACAGAGGCTGCCAGACCTGCTGAGCTATTCCAGCAATTTCTGTTTATTTTCTATAATCATAACTAGTCTTTCTTACATTTTTACTTCAAAAATTGATGTCCTATCACAAAAACAAGTCTGATACAGATATTCAAAGTTTATTAGCAGTTTAGATTAGGCAAATGGAAAATGAGGATTTCTATTAGTCAATGTAACCAGTGGACAATGATAATGTCAAATAATCACCGAAAGATTACAGCGTACAGTTAGGAGATTTCTAAAATGTGAATACTTGTTAGAAAGATAAGCTTTCATACATATAGCAACTTCTACGACCTCACGTTATCCTAAAGTACAGCCCTGTCATTTAGATTCTTGAGCTGCGTAGGCATTTTATTTCTGGATAAATACTGTAGCTAATTTAAGCACAGCAAGATCCCACAAAGAGTAACCAGAGAACATACTAATTAAACTAATTCAATGATGTTGGGTACAGGATAGATGCTCGCCAGGACACCGTAAGACCCTAACTGGAATTCAACATTGGATTCTTTTACAGGTTTGAGTTTAACTTCTCGTCATTTGCAACATGGGGACATTGAAGGTCCTAATTTTAAAATTTGGCTAGAAATTGAGGCTTACCGAGTGGAAAAACTGAACAGCCTCCTGAAGCCTGAGGCCATGAAATTCTATCACTCAAACATTCCCTCACACTGACCTCTGTCCAGCATCATCACTGCAGCCGACAGAATAGAGTTCAAATCTTTGCAAGGTTAGGCTGCTGACAAGGAACCACGCCAAAGTAAGTAAGGGACTGGGGAGGATCAGAAAAGTCCACAATCGAAGGCACCCTGCTACTCCTGGTCCTCAAGGAACCTTTAAAAATATTAAATTACCTGGACTTCCTGGTCGCTGTTCACATTGTTTCACTGCCAGGCTTAAAATGTGGGGTCCTTGGTTGGTCCCAGAGTGAAAAACAGAAGATTGAATCCAGTCATATGATCAGAATTTGGCATTAAATTACATCCCCAGTTCACCGAGATGGGCATTGTTCTTGACACCGATTTGGTTGACATGGTGAGGACTTGGAACATGGCACAAATCTGGCCCTCGGAATTGTCCTCTAAACTTGCACTATTCATCTGGAGGCAATTAATATTCCCTGAGGTCATCCTACCAGAAGCAATGGCAGAAGCAGAATTTTTCATATATTTTCAAGAAGCGCACAGAGATTTGAAAAGAAACAGTAAGCTGAAGCAAGGAAACAAGACAAACGAGTATATCCTTCGGAAAGCCAGTGTGTGTCTCACGGGTCAGACAGTCTCTAAACGTCAGGGTCAACAGAAATTAAATGTTAAGAATTTAGAAGCCGAAAATCAAATTTTTTTCACTCTAAGGTTGGCAGATTTGCGAATAGGAATTATATCTCCTCAATGACAATGTGCAAATTCAAAGGGTTAATGGCTTGTATCAAAATACAGCTCAGAAGAATGTTGCACAGTCATGTCAGTCATTCAGAAGGTACTTTTCTCATGAGAAACGCTATCTATTAAAAGAAAAATAGTGAAATTGGCCACAAATCACAATTAGATAATGTTGAGTGGGAGAAGGAATTGCAGGAAGTTTTGAGAAACTGTGTGGTTATGGTTGATCAATCAAATAGGCATTTTTGAGTGGATTAGTCTTTTTGATTGTACGTAAAAATTCTTATGCTCTTATGAATACAAGTAGCTACAATGGGTCGCCATTGAAAAATGTCTGGTTTGGTATGGGTTGGCCGTGAGGTAAAGGTCTATATCATTGGGTTTGCCTTTAATCTGAGGCTTAGTTTGTACCTGAACCTTTGGTATTGGGCTGCTTCTGTTCTAAAAATACAGAAAAGAGCTGCAAGATGCTGGAAATGTGAAATGAAAACAAAAATTGTTGAAGAAATGCAGCAGGCCTGGCAGCATCTTAGGAGAGCAAAACAATGACCCTTCTTCAGAGTATTTTGCAACTTGTGTTACCACACAATTAAAAGATGTTTCTTTTCTGTTCAAAGGTTGAAAATCTTTTCAAATAATTTTTTGATTATTTTATTGCTGTTTGATAAAGATCTGAAAGGAGGGAATAATTCAGTCTCATGGGTACAATTAACTGCCAAGGGACACAACAATCATGCTCAATGGTTTCTCTTTATTTTGGTCTGAAGTAAGTCCTACCCCAAAAACAAAATCATTGTACCCTTGACTGATAAGCGTCCTATTAAAGAGATGAGGGAGACTTAATAATACACTCTTGACTTTAACATTGGAGAAAGCCATGAGCTTCTTATGAGTGTCTCAGTGGCTAACATGCTTAGCTCTGATTCAGAGGTACATGAGTTCAATTCTTGCTCCAAAAAACTTTCTTTTCCAAAAACCTGATTGCATTTTATAATCCTTTGAAAGCCATGGGTTTGTCTATTGACCCGGCTATTTGCAGGATCTGAGGACCTCTTTGGCTAAAGTACAACTTTCTGACTTGATTGTAGAATCCCTACACTATGGACCACAGAGTATGCCCTGACCCTCCGAAGAACTTCCCACCCAGACCGCAACCTATTCCCCCATAACCCCACATTGGCCATACAAATCCACCTAGCCTGCACATC